CGGTTGAACAGTTTTAACCAATATAAACGTACCAGTATTTTAATGGGAATTGTGGGCCTGCTTTTGGCTGATGAGATAAAGTTAATTACAATTGTTGTTGTGTGCCTTCAAGCCGTTTAAGGTGAGGGATGAGAAAATGACTTTGGAGGGCTGCATCCAGCCCACAAGTCAGTGTGGGGACCTCTGGTATAGGAATAAAGTGTGCAGTTTAATTTTATAGTGTGTGCATTTTCTCCAAATGCATAGCGAAAAATAATCTAATTGGTTGGGTTTTTTTCTCTGAAAGTTGCAATTTTCTGTGCATAGTAAGAGGTCAGTGAATATATTCTCTCACTGCAAAGCCTTGCAGTTTCTCAAACCCTTGTGCAATTCTCAAAACTGCTTGGTTTATGTTGTGCTGAGAATGAGCAGCAACAACAAAAAGCTCCTGCAATTTGTAGGAACTTTCAGTGTGTAATTTTTCCTCCCATATAGGTTGCTCAAAGGTTTGGTAACTCCAAATTCCATTTGTAGGGAAACTATTATTTTGTGTTCCATCTCTAGCTCTAATAGTGATAAATTTCCAATATCTAATCAAGTTTGGCCTTTGGATGTTATCAAAGCAGTCCTGTTTTCAAGTTGTACGGTCATTGTATCAACACCCAAGAAAAAGTTTCTCCATTCTAATTCAGTTCTGCTGTCTCATTAACATTTTTCCTTTTTTGCCCTTCCATTTTTGCCTCTTTTTTGGTCTTCAGGCAATCAGTGCCTATTAAATATTCTACCAAGCATGATATTGCTCTCCCATCTCCCTGTTCTGACATACTTGGTAGCAGCAATTTGCTGAACTCAGCTCCTGTACTTTGCATTCTTTTTTTAAAAAACACTTTCAGAATCAACAAACCTATTAATACTAATAATTAAAAGAGAACTTGACAAGAGGGAACAGCAGTTCTAAATCTCACTATCTGAATATGTGAGAGAATGAGGAAGAAGAAAATAAATACAGGCCACCGGCTGCTTCCCCTTTGATAGACTACTGTCACTTGGAACATCATGCTGAACAAACCTATTCAAGACAAGTGATAGCTTCATGTTACTGAGTTACAATAAAGTAAGTTCAGCTTGAGTCACTTTCGAAGGCTGGGATTCTCTCCACCTTTTAAGTGATGCACCCCAATCCAGCACAGTCATTTCCACATTGCTGGAAAATGGCAGGATCGGCAGAGACATGTCCAGCTATTTTCCTGTTCCTGAATGTGCTGCAAAGAGATAATCGGTAGGGACCTCCAAAGGAATCCTGAAAGTCATACAGAGGCTATTGCTCCACAATAGCTGAACACAACTCCGCTGATTTCTCCATTCTCCAGAGATGTGGGATGGGCTTCTCCAGACAAATGTAAGAATAAACAACCAGTAATTCAGATTCACCCCACAGTGTGGATAGCCGATTCTCCTGAAACTATTTAAAATGGCCACTGCAGTCTCTTTACAGAGAAACTTATACAAAGAAAAGCGCTTCCTAAAAATGGCCACTTTGTGCCATTATTTAATTTTGTTTTATGGGTCAGATCATCAGTAAATAAACACCCAGCCAGCTTGGACATGGGAAAGCAACCTATTGTAACTTGATTGACCAAGTTCTCTTCTAGATGCATCTGTACACAAGCCCTACCTCTATATGAAGGCCAACCATGTTATGTGGGGGTTAACAGCTCTGTGATGGTAGTCCTTAGATAATGAAATAAAATGAAATGAAATTTTATTTATAGCCCGCCCTAACTCCCTGAAAGGACTCAGGGTGGCTCACAACAAAATTCACAATGGCAAACATTCAATGCCGAAAGTAATATATAAGCAAACCAATAAGCAAATCAAGAACAACTCAATAAATTATAAACCAACATAAATGAACAAGACATAACATAATCCATAAATTTCTAAAATTACGCTAAAATTTTGGGAGAGAGATAGAAAACAGCAGGTTACCAGGGTGGCTACTAGCAGCTAGGTAAGATGCAAACAGATGTACTTAATCCTCCTCCTCTCCATAAACTAAATTGGATAGATGTATTTTAATAGCTTTTTGAAGGAGTGGAGGCCATTTTTAACTCTTTAGGGAGGGAGTTCCAGAGGTGGGAAGCAATCTCAGAGAAAGCCCTCTCTCTTGTTCGCATCAACTGTGCTTGAGAAGGGGGGTGGGACCGAGAGGAGGGCCTCATCTGCCAACTGGAGAACTTGTGATGATTTGCATAGGAGATGCCGTCTTTCAAATAGTCTGGATCCAAACCATTTAGGGCATACATGACACGTTAATCTTTTTTTACTGAGAAAGTAAAAGAAAAGATCGTTACTGTATATGATAAATAATTACATTCATCTAAAAGTATTAATTAACTAACACCAGTAATCTATATATTCATTCAGTGCTATTTTTTTTTTTAAAAAAACTGGCTTTAACTAGAGTTATTCTTTGTTCAAAGTTGATGGCAGTCTGTGTCTTTCTCATGCATCAGCAATGTTGCAAAGTATAATTTTCCAGGCAATGAATTATTCGTTTGCATTATTTCAAATTAGGAAACAGTTAATTTTTATTACCATTTAAATATTTTGGGACTGTTGGCTAAAAACAGGCTTATTATCATGCAACAGGAGTATTCATAATGACAATAGCTCTAGCCATGTAATTAAATAGATCCATAAAATGTTACCTGCTCCTAATGCTGATGTTTCAATTAGGTCATTTTTAAATAGCAATATTTCTTTAAAGTGTTTTCAGATACCATTTTTCTTTGTTGATAGCCACAGGAACAGAAATATTAACTCCTCAGAGCTAACACTATAATTAGGCTTAAGTGAAGCAGCTATTTCGGACAACACAGATGTTAGATGTCACAACATTGGAATAAATAGTTGTTCAATTTTAAGAATAATTTTTACTGCCATAGATGGAGGAAGATGCATGTCATGGAGAAGATTTTTCCCCACTTGTGTACACAAAAAGAAAAAAGAAAGAAAGAAAGAAAGAAAGAAAAGAAAAGAAAAAAAGAAAAAGAAAACATTTGTCTGCCCATGTCTATGATGTACCTTGAGTTTGGTGGGCCAAAACTATTTTCTGTTCCGGTTTAGGCTGGTTGCTGCCACCTTGGTTTATGTTTCCAGATGAAGTCTCCCACCATTGGCAGGCAAACATTCAAACAGCTATGGGGATAAAATAGAAATAACAATAAAGAGAATGAGCAATAATCTTCCTGACCCCTCTTTTAGAATCTTCTATCCAATTAAGAGTGGAGCCACTTCAACCAAGTACCTATAAACACAGTAGGCTGAATCTACACTGCCATATAATACAGTTTCAGTATGCAGATTAACTGCATTGTTATTATTATGCTTATTACGTTTATTTATACCCTATTTTTCTCTCCATAAAGGAAACTCAAAATGGCTTACAACAAAAACATTTCAATACCATTTAAATTCTACACATATACAAACATTAAAACGGGATTAAATATCAATGGATTTAAACAATGTCACAGTTAAAATCCATAAAAACTTATTAAAAACCTATTCAGAGCTAAAACCAAAACACCCTCTGACTTGGTCTTAAAACCCTTTTTCTTTAAAAGCCTGCCTGAATAAAAAGGTTTTAGCCTGCCACTGGAAGGACAACAAGGAGGAAGCCATTCTAGATTATATGACAGTGTAGACTCATATAAAGGCAGTCTCCAAATAACGAGCAAGATGGGTTTGTTCTTAAGTTGAATTTGTATCTAAGTCGGAACAAGTACATTGTTTAAGTATAACTCCAGCCAATACAGATAGCATAGCGTTAACACTCATGTGGTGTTTCCTTTGCTGTCTAAGCCCCTGTTCAGAAGATTTTATCTCACTTTCTGTCCCTGTGATCATTGGATTTTGAAACATTTGGCATGTTGTGGAAACAAGGATTGGAGATAAAGTTTCAGAGGAGACACCTTTTCGCCATGATAACTCTTCCAGGGTGAATTTCCCTTCTTAGGAGTAGATTTCTGTCACTTCTGGATGTTTCACCCCTGTTTGTAACTATGAGTCACTTGTAAGTTGGATGTTTGTAGCTCGGGGAGTACCTGTAAAATAGTTCAGTGCAGTTAATCTGCATTCTGAAACTGGATTATATGGCAGTGTAGATCCAGCCTCAGACAACCTGTCCTTTTTACCACCATGGTTGAAAATACAGAAAGCTGTTATCCAAAGGCATCTACAACTCTCTGCCCTATTAGCCTCTCAATATCTGTTACAAAACTAGTTCTCAGGCCAGATTCATGTAAAAGCACATTCCATGAATCCCTAGAGTTGACTCATGACTCTTTCCTCCATTTTCCGATTATGTAATGTTGGGTTTCATGCAAAAATTTGTGACTTTAATGTAAATCTATCTTGCTGTAATGGAAAGCTACTGATTTTCATCATACAGCCTTGTCAGAAATTTATTTATTTAAAACATTTATATTCCGCCCTTCTCACCCCGAAGGGGACTCAGAGCGGAACACAGCATATACACGGCAAACATTCAGTGCCTGGATACAATACACAAACATTAAAAACATCTATCGAAATATTAAAATTCACCATTTAAAATAACACAATTTAAAACCGTTCTAGCCATCTGCATCAAATCCAATTGGCCTTGTCATCTTTCCCATTGCTGCTTCATTGCCCTGTCCTGAAAGCTTGGTCCCACAGTCAAGTTTTTACCATCCTTCTAAAGGACAGGAGGGGTGGGGCTGACCTGATCTCACCAGGAAGGGAGTTCCATAGCTGGGGAGCAATCATTGAGAAGGCCCTGTCTCTTGTCCCCACCAATCACGCCTGTGACAATGTTCTCTTTCATGTGTGTGTTTTTTTTTAACCTAAGTTGTGTATTATTATTTCTCCTGACTTCTCCAAATCACACTGGTATTTCAATAAGCTAAATACTTTTCTTGGTTTTGTTTTACTTATGAAACTATTATGTATTTTTCTTTTGGTTGATTCTTCAGCGTCCTGAACCGAACTCCTGTGCATCTGGTCCATGAAATCATATTGGTGGATGACTTCAGTGATGATCGTAAGTGACTCTTTTGAGCTAAAAAATGGGAAGGAGTGGGGAAAAGTTATAAAAGAGAACTTCCCTTGCTCTTCTCTCTCTCAGTATTTGTGTGTGTGTGTGTACTGACAGTGTCCTTTTTGTGCTTGGAAAAGATTGGCAGTTATTATTGTCATCACTTCCTTGACTTGCTGGTGGCCACATTTTTCTTTTCAAAGGTGTCACTAGAGTGCACACTGTCAGATTCCTTAATACCTACCTGTTGCCTTGCCTGTTGATTTCTCCTGAAAACCATGTAAGCAAAAGAACTAAAAATAAAATAACACCAATCTTTCTGTTTCCAAAGCCGACGATTGCCGTTTGCTGATCAAGCTGCCCAAGGTGAAGTGCTTACGCAACAGGAGAAGAGAAGGTAAGAACTAGATAATCCAACCACAGGAAGAGGAATAAGGGAGTGAGACAGGAAAATGAATGGCTTGTAAGACCAGATAGTATGTGAAGCGCCCAATTTAGGTGCTAGCGAGGGAGGGACTGAAAACAACACTCTCCCAGCTGTAAAGGCTTGCTCTGCTGCTAGGTCAAAGAGGTGCCTCTTTGACCTAGCAGCACGGTGGCGGCTTTGGGGAGCCTCACTTATACTGTTCTCTTGTCACAACAGAATAGCATGTGTGATTGGACCTGCTGGACAATTCACTCAGCCCAGTCTCTTACTCTGATGTAGTTTCTACTTAGGAAGAGTTGTAGTAAGCAGAATCTCTATTGTGCAGCTACCTATGTACTTTCTTGTTTTGGTACTTTCTGGTCACTTCTCCCATAATGCTATGATCTGATGAAAGATACATGGTGTTTAGTAACTAAAGAACTACATCACTTTGAGTGTTTGTCCCCAACAATGTTATCCAAGTCCACAATTACTCTGTGTTCATCATCTTGTGTGTTTGTCTCTAACACTGTTATCCAAACTCACAAAAAACCCCACAATTTGGTAGCAGTTAGCAGCATGTGAAGAGTGGGACTTATTCTTCTACCTCAAATAGTGGAACTTCTGCCACTGCCATTTATAAGTGGGAAAGGTTTACATTTCTGTTCTTTAATTGTAACGTGTTTCTTTTATATATGGTTGTGAAGTCTTTGCTTTTTCCTCTCCTCTGCTTCATTTCCCCCGTTCATAGATTTTCCCAATAGTGTAGATACCTTCATTGTATTCGTTTTTGGGTGGAGCATAACAACCCCAGAGGCCAACCTTAGTTGGTCTAGGTTCTTGTGGGTTTTTTCGGGCTATAGATCCATGTTCTAGAGGCATTTCTCCTGACGTTTCACCTGCATCTATGGCAACATCCTCAGAGGTTGTGAAGGTCTGTTGGAAGTAGGAAAATGGGTTTATATATCTGTGGAATGGCTGGGGTGGGGCAAGGAGCTCTTCCCTGCTGCAGTTAGGTGTGAATGTTTAGCTGATCACCTTCATTAGCATTTGAAGGCCTGCCTGAGTCTGGGAAAATCTGTTGCTGGGAGGTGTTAGATGTCCTGGTTTTTCCCCTCTGCTGTTTTTCTGTTTTAGAGTTTTTTTTAATACTGGTAGCCAGATTTTGTCCATTTTCATGGTTTCCTCCTTTCTGTTGAAATTGTCCACATGCTTGTGGATTTCAATGGCTTCTCTGTGTAGTCTGACATGGTGGTTGTTAGAGTGGTCCAGCATTTCTGTGTTCTCAAATAATATGCTGTGTCCAGGTTGGTTATCAGGTGCTCTGCTATGGCTGACTTCTCTGGTTGAAGTAGTCTGCAGTGCCTTTCATGTTCCTTGATTCGTGTTTGGGCAATGCTGCGTTTGGTGGTCCCTATGTAGACTTGTCACAGCTGCATGGTATACGGTAGACTCCTGCAGAGGTGAGAGGATCCCTCTTGTCCTTTGCTGAACGTAGCATTTGTTGGATTTTCTTCGTGGGTCTGTATGATTGTTTGTATGTTGTGTTTCCTCATCAGCTTCCCTATGCGGTCAGTGGTTCCCTTGATGTATGGCAGGAACACTTTTCCTCTGGGTGGATCTTCATCTTTACTCTCGTGGCTTGCTCTTGGTCTTGCAGCTCTTCTGATGTCTGAGGTGGAGTATCCATTGGCCTGGAGAGCCCAGTTGAGGTGGTTCAGTTCATCTTGGAGGAGGTGGGGTTCGCAGATTCTTTTTGCACGGTCTGCCAAGGCTTTAATGGTGCTTCTTTTTTGACTTGGGTGATGGTTGGAGTTTTTATGTAGATATCTATCTGTGTGTGTGTGTGGGTTTTCTGTAGACGGTGTGACCCAATTGTTGATCTGGTTTGCGGATGACTAGGACATCTAGAAAAGGCAGTCTTCCTTCATTTTCTTTTTCCATGGTGAACTGGATGTTTGGGTGGATGCTGTTAAGATGGTCCAGGAACCTGTTGAGTTCTTCTTCTCCATGGCTCCAAATGGTGAAGGTGTCATCCACATATCTGAACCATTTCCCTGTATAGAGCTCTTTGCTGGACTCCTCCCTCTTTTCTACAGCAGAGCTTCTGTAACTTAGGCTTGGATTGTCTGGTAATCCTAGGGCCAAACAATTCAAACAGGCATCCTTAGCACCTGCATTCAGCAGTATTTTTGTACCATCAGTCCAAAGGATAACAGAAGCTTATGACCAGCTTATGCTTCACAAGAAAGAAGATTAAGACAGTTTATAACTATGTGTACCAGAGGCAGGAAACATTCAAAGATTCTAGAGAGATGACTGCAGCCAGCAAAGGCTCCTTTTGTAATGTATTTTTTGAGTTACCTTATGATAGTCCTGAGTGGAGTTAACCCTTTATTCATCTTGTTTGCAGTAAACTAATTTGGTTATCTTTTCATCTTGCCGAAAGTGCCTCTGTCTACTAAGGGTCTTAATCTGAAAAGAAAATATACAGATAGTCCTCAAATAAAGCCAGACACTATAGTTTTCCCATGGGCTCAGGCGTGCCATCACAACGGCACTCCTTTAAAGCCAGCTTGCAGGCTTTTATGAAAATTATGCTTTTATGTTCATTTCTGACACAGAATTCTATGTACCTTGAAGCATGTTTATTTAGGAGAGAAAACTGATGCATTAATAGACAGGATCATGTTGTGGCAGCAACAACATAAGAACATCATTTTAATTTGCAGTTTTAGTTTTTTAAACTAAATGTTTCATTCTTTCATTTTTTGACAGGTAAATGAACAAAATAAAGATTTAACATCAAATTATAAAAATGAGCAGAGTAATTTGAGATAACTTTCAGATATGTTAGTACAAGAGCAGAAAACTAAAATTTAACATCCTTAAATCATAAAAAATGAAAATGAGGATGGTGGAGAGAAGGAATCCAGTAGCACATTTGGGATAACTGATATATTTCAGTGCACATTTTTGAAAACTCTTACTGGAATAATCAGCGAGCCTCAAAGGTGCTACTAGATTCCTTCTTCACACATCTACCATTTTCCCTTTTAAGCTGTGACATACTAACACATCTCCTTCCTTAAATCAATTTGGCTCAGAGCTGATGCAAAAAATGGATTACACACACATATCAATCTATAATTGCTCAATCTTTCTCCAATTTACTCATCTTTCTGGCATGTTTCTTTTTTGTAAAGCAACAATAGTAGCACCAAAACTGTACCAGTTCTAAGGAAAAGTTGAGGTGAAGAAGTATTTTCAACTTTAACCTTTAAGATTTAAAGGTTACTATCACAAGTACAGACATACAAAATAAATGTGGTTAATAGTTTGGAAGGAGCATTTGCCACAGTTCCTTTTATGCAGAGCTGAGGCACAGTTTCTCAAGAGATTTTCTTTGCCGTGAAGTCTCTTCTTTCATTGTGTCTCTTACCTGCAAATATTTCCTACCATTTTTAATACTGATTTCTATCCTGCTCTCTCTCTCTCTCTCTATCTACAATGTCCTAAAGCAATGCTGTATAGAAAATGCAAAATGGCAGTCAGTCTGCTGATACAGTTCCATTTGCAATGGCAGCAGTAAAAGAAAACTTAGAATAATAGAATCATTGAGTTGGAAGAGATCTTGTGGGCCATCCAGTCCAACCCCCTGCCAAGAAGCACGAAAATTGCATTCAAAGCACCCCCGACAGATGGCCATCCAGCCTCTGCTTAAAAACCTCCAGAGAAGGAGCTTACACCACACTCCAGGGCAGAGAGTTCCATGACTGAACAGCGTTCACAGTCAGGAAGTTCTTCCTAATGTCCAGGTGGAACCTCCTTTCCTGTAGTTTGAAGCCATTGTTTCACGACCTAGTCTCCAGGGCAGCAGAAAACAAGCTTGCTCCCTCGTCCCTATGACTTCACTCAGATATTTATATCTGGCCCTCATCATGTCTCCTCTCAGCCTTCTCTTCTTCAGGCTAAACGTGCCCAGCTCTTTAAGTCACTCCTCAAAGGGCTTGTTCTCCAGACCCTTGATCAATTTAGTCGCCCTCCTCTGGATACATTCCAGCTTGTCAACATCTCCCTTCAATTGTGGTGCCCAGAATTGGACACAGTATTCCAGGTGTGGTCTGACCAAGGCAGAATAAAGGAGTAGCATAAATTCCCTGGATCTAGACACTACACTCCAATTTTTGCAGGTCAAAATCACATTGGCTTTTTTTTGCCGCCGCATGTCATTGTTGGCTCATGTTTAACTTGTTATCCACAAGGACTCCAAGATCTTTTTCACACATACTGCTGTTGAGCCAGTCATCCCCCATTCTGTATCTTTGCATTTCAGTTTTTCTGCCTAAGTGGAGTATCTTGCATTTGTCCTGGTTGAACTTCATTTTGTTAGTTTTGGCCCATCTCTCTAATCTGTTAAGATCGTTTTGAATTCTGCTCCTGTCTTCTGGGGTATTGGCTGTCCATCCCAATTTGGTGTCATCTGCAGACTTGATGATCATGCCTTCTAATCCTTCATCTAAGTCATTAATAAAGATGTTGAACAGGATTGGGCCCAGGATGGAACCCTGCGGCACTCCGCTCGTCTCTTTTTTCCCAGGACTTTAGGAACAAAATAATTCTCTGAAAATTGTGAGATCTTCCTGATCCAATACATTCATACCCAATACGATTGAAGAATTGCTCTTTACACCCTGGATAATGGGGTGAAATTCTGCTCCCTGATCCTCACTTCTCAAAGTGGAGTATTTCAATAGGCCATTGGCTCATACAGTTTCCCTTTTATCTTTTTCCTCCTTATTCTTTGCCACCACTGCTGAATTTTCTTACTTCATTGACTTAGTCTTGCTGGCTTTACTACCAGTCTGATCACTCTTCCCTAACTTTATAGCTCTTGATCCTGCTACTCTTTATAGGCAATGAAATGCACAGAGCTTTCTGACTGATGAATATGCACTCTGTCCTTTATTTGATCTTAGAATTGAGTCCCT